ATCCATAATTCTTTGCATGAACAAATTTGTAACCCTAACTCTACTGGTATATAGATTGTAATGTTCCTTTAATTTTTAACGACTATCCAGCACTGAAGGCAATCAAGTAGAAATGCGAAGACATTATCGAGAAAATATTAACAAAATAATGTCGTAACGCACTCACATTAATTCAAATAAATAACATAGTTATTAAACACTCTAAATTAGTACCAATCCTACCGCAGCTTCCTTGCAAAAAACAGGTGCTTTATTGAGGTATACAAACTCCGTTCTCCGGTTAAAAATCTTTACTAATTTTTACAAATTCCCACAAACCATTCRTTAGACATTCACCTTTATACTCGAAATGCATTGTAGCAGCAAATGTACACACATACATACAAACATACAAATTTATAAACATTCTTAAGATTGTATGGGCATTTGCAAATAACATACTTATACATAAATATACGATGAAGTTCGTAATATTCTCTGTATTCTGTGCTGTGATTGAAATAAAAATGATCTTTAAACTGTACACCAAACTAAATTTAAATTCATAGTTTATATATACACATACATATATAATAAGGCTATAGTGGAAACCGAGTGCAAGTCATTTGATGCAATTTGCTCAAGACGGCAACATAAATACAAACGAACGTGTTTAGTGWGTGAAAAATATGCAAATACTTTCTATTATGCAAATGATTTATGGGAAAAATATATGCACACCCATACATATACAAATTTCAGTTGTGTSCGCGCATCATCCTGCGTCCTGCATGAATAAGTTCAGCTCATATTGTTCGCTTATTTTGCATTTCATTATTCATGTCAACTAAAACGCTTCTCAAGCAGCTAAGCAATAACAACTGTGGTAGTCAGTTGTCTGGTGAGATGATGGCAAGCACTGTCAGTGCACTGTCGTCATTTTTGTTGTGTTATTGCCATGATTTATATTGTTTTACGCAACTTGTCTGCGTCAAATAAATTTCTACAAAACAACTGCATACGAGTATGTACATATATATGTATTCGCTTAACCAGGTAAGGGTAAAGATATTAACCCTAAACCAAGGCGTTGTCGATTTTAGTAGCATATTTGGTAGGCTGTCAACAAMATTTTGTGCTCTAAATTTATGGGTGAGTTCTAGACATGGCTAGGTCAAGTCAAAGGGCTTTTATACGCTATATGTATCATGAGTAGTGTATACGAATATGCGTATATATAACTCTCCTAAATATAGAAGTTATTGTAGTAATGCAAAAGTATGTAAATAAAACTTTCCACTTAAAGATAGGTTCTTGTCTTTGAAACATTATTGTAGTAATGCAAAAGTATGTAAATAAAACTTTCCACTTAAAGATAGGTTCTTGTCTTTGAAACAAGTACAAATACATTTTTAAAAACCTTCTTAATATGGGAATTGAAATTATTTTTAACATTTATATTGATTTTYAATAAGCATTTTAAATGTTGGAAAATAAAACTTTCCATACATTCGATCTTCTTTTTATATCTTTCATTGCACATTTTTTTGAAGTATTAATTTTTTTCAGTCCCCTCATGAAATGTCCTTGGAAATACCCTAAAAAAATTGCGTTTAATGAGCCTTTAAATTTAACCTTTAATATTAACATTAAGGACAGGATCAATGCAAGTAAAAATTTTCCATTGAAAATACACGAAAATCGTGATTTTTTTTTCTTTAAATTTTTATAGCTTAGAGACATTTTATGGCATCGCTTTGATTTTAGATACATATTCCTCAAAATTGAACACTCCACAAAAGTGCCCATTGCGACCAAGTT